GAAGGTTGGTGTACATTGTGGTGAAATCAACCGTGCGAGGAGAGAGGCCACGTAGAGAGGACACATTGTTTTTCAGGTCAATCGCCACCTCATCGGCACTCTGGACGATCCAGCACCGTCGAACACCTTCCTGTTGATAGAGCTCAGTGTCTTTCTCACGAAGAGTAGATATATATATATATATCGTCAAATAGAACTGCCCGGTAAACCGTAGGCAGAGAGGGAGAAGAGGACAACAAACGAGGGGCTGTGACAAACTGTTTCGTCGGAGTTTATATATATATATATATATCGTCAAATATATATATATATATATCGTCACAAATATATATATATATATACAAAGAGGGAGAAGAGGACAACAAACGAGGGGCTGTGACAGACTGTTTCGTCGGACTTTCACGACTCATCAGCAGGCTGAGCCCTCTACAGTCTGCAGAGTCCCTAACGAGCGATGATACTGAAAGCGATAATCCACCTTAACCCCGGTTGTGATTTAACCGCCAGTAAGTTTCCCGGCCATTTTTTTCAGAGTCGTGGCATGCATGTTGCCCCTATCTCGAACCCCTCTTTCTCCTCCACTCCCCCCTTCCACTCCAACTTCCATCCCCCCCCTTCCCCCCTCCCCTCCACCTCCCGCTCCCACCCCACGCCTTCCAAACGCCCTCCTCCACCGCCCTGCCTCCCCAGTCGATGGCTTCATGCCTGTCATGCGGCAAAAGACAAAAAGTGCGGTAGGTACTACGACCATCCGCCGCCCCATTCGAAATCCAGAGATTCTTCCACCGTAGCGAAGAGGCAGATAAATCATATCCTATTTTTGGAATAGCACAATTGAAATTAAATTGCTGAACGATTTGGTACTATAGTAGTACTATTGTCAATATTCCTATGATAAATTTTAAATTGCTGTTACTTTTTCAGTAAATTTTTACTATGAAATTAGTATTAAATTCTATTAATTAATTAAAATTACTATGAATTAATTCATGTATGCTTTATTGGAGCTTATTCTCCACCAATTTCACCCAGTCTAGGCTGATCAATCAAGTTTGGGTAAACACCAAATACTTTGTAAATAGTAAAAAGTAAATAGTAAAAAGTAAAAAGTAAATAGTAAATAGTAAATACTAGTAAATGCAACAATAACCCATGCCATATGTCTTGTGGAAAGTCTAAGGGCCAACTCGGCTGCCCTCAGCCCAGGCTGAAACGGGGGCAAAAAGGACCCCACATGAGGACTCAGGGCCTGGACGTGTGATAGTTGACTTTGGTCAACTGTCGGGACCCCAACAGTCAAAGTCCAAAGGTACCTAGCCCAGGCCGCTGGTCAAGCACACACACTTGTTTGTATGCAGGTACCCAGACAGCATCAGGACCAAGGGAGAAGTCTGCAATTGTACAATCCGGGCCCTCAGCTG